CTTCCGTTCAGTTGCCGAACAGCGAACAGTCTACACGAGAAGAAGACATAATGAGGGTCTTCGAAACACATTTTTCGAATCTTTTCAGGGCGGAGAACGCAAACGACGTGAACTATACCACCATAGGTAATGAGTTTTGCGAGGGAATTTCCCGCTTACCGGAGGAGCTTCGCGATGGTCTGTGCAGCCCAGTGACGCTGGATGAACTACGCATCGTGCTTCAGCGCATGAACACAACTTGCGCCGCCGGCCCTGACGGGATACCTTTGAGTTTCTACAAAACCTTCCTTGAAACAATACAAGACCACCTTTTAACACTTGCTGACGGAATCGGAGCGAATACGTTTCGTGTAAGCAGAGTTATACTCTTGCTTAAAAGCGAGGGAGAGCCGTCCAACCCAAGAGCGTGGAGGCCCAATTCCCTACTTAACTCGGATTATAAGATATTGACAGCCATCCTTGCAAACCGCATAACAATCATTCTACCGGAAATAGTAAGCGACATACAAACATGCTGTGTCCCAGATCATACGATCTATACCTCGCTTGCGCTGACTCGCAATTTATTCACGTACGCTACAAGAGCACAAATATCTGGCGTTTTTGTTTCCTTGGATCAGGAAAAAGCTTTTAATCGCATAGAATGGAACTATCTCTTCGCTGTGCTTGAGTGTTATGGCTTCCCAGCACATTTAACCGACACCCTCCGTTTACTCTACACAGACTTAGAAACGTCATTAGTAGTGAATGGCTATACATCTGAACCTATTGCAGTAAAAAGGGGCGTTCGACAAGGCTGTCTCCTCTCTGCAACTCTCTTTGTGTTATGCACAGATTCATTATTGAAACAAATCCAGAAATGTACTTCGATACGTGGTTTCCCTCTTCCAGGCTTGGGCGAAGTGAAAGTAGTGGCATACGCCACTGACATCTCGTTGTTTATTCGGAACATAAACAGCTACAGAGCCTTTCTCCGAATATTGACAACATATAGTTACCTGTCGGGAGCACGTCTTAATCCCGGAAAAAGCAAGGCATTGTGCTTTGGGGTGCACATTGAAGAGTTCCCTGATGGCGTCCAAATCGTCCAAGGCGTTAAAGTCTTAGGTGTAACTTTCCTTTCGACTTGTGAGGTAGCCCGCACCATATGGAAAGAAATCCAACACAAAGTGGACAGATGCATTGAAGTCGCCAGAACGCTACAACTACCTTTTACTGAAGGAGCTTATCTAATTAAATCCAGCATAACAGCGTCACTGCTTTATGTAGCCAGAATTGCACAACCACCTCGACGGGTATTGCTGAGAGTGGCTACTGCTTGCGGCCCCTTTTTTTGGGATGGCCACGCCGAAGCTGTTGCCGGAGCCTTGGTCCGCCTACCAGTAAAATGGGGAGGGCTCAGTGTACCCAACCTTGATGTAATGTGCCGCATGTTGGCTCTGAAAAACACCTGGGCACTTCTACAGAACTCATCGTATCGAGGCAGGCAACTTGTAGTGAATCTGCTAGGAAGCTCTAGAAGACTTTTTGGTTTAGCAAACGACAAGGGACCAGCTGCTGAGCAGCCACGAGCGTATTACACACATGTTATAAAATCTTTGCAACAATGGCGAAATGATTTTCCTGTTCAGGAACCTATGGAAATGTCCCCCACCGACATGATCAAATTAATAGCATTTAAAAGCCTATCTGAAGAACAACGCCGCAAATGCCGGGCGAAAAAACACTGGACTCTTACAAACACGTCTCTCCCCTCCGAGGTCCGTGACCTAAACTGGCTCAGCGAATGGGAGGCTTTACCAACGCCCGACTGCCTTGCGGCGTGGGGCGTGGCGCCCTCCGCCACATGCCCGCAATGCGGTCGCATCGAAAGACTGAACCATGTCTTCCATGAATGTATAGTAGCGCGCACATTTTGGTGCATGGTTACCAGGATGTTCCAAACAAGTATGCAGTGGAAGTCTAGCCACAGGGATAACTTTGTCGTACTCTTAATGGCTACCGGAGCCTTAGTCTTATGGAAACGAAGGGGACTGGCCTGCCTGAGGGGACGCCCCCAGAGAGCCATGTTTCCCCTACTACATCGGCATTCGACAGGGTTCCCCTACTACAAGGCATTCGACAGGGTTCCTCACGGTAGCCTTCTTTTAAAACCTAAACAAGCAGGAATTCCTTCTAGACTTGTAAATTGGGTTAATTCATATTTGAAAGATCGAACGCAATTTGTAAACATCGATGGTACTTGTTCCTCTTCTCTAACAGTGACATCAGGTGTGCCCCAGGGAAGTGTGCTGGGGCCCCTGCTTTTTTGTTGTATGTTAATGATTTAGTGTCTGTGGTTGGTGATACTGTGAATATTTGAATGTTCGCAGATGATATCATGATTTATACTGAAGTGCAGTCTGCTTCTGATCAACATCGGCTAGATAGGGCTTTATGTGACATAACATCTTGGTTTAACAAATGGGGCATGAAAATTAGCACTACAAAAACAGTTCTTTTACGTATAACCAGGAAACGAAACCCCATAACTTTCCGGTACAAAATTTAAAACACCATAATCGAGGAGGTTAGTAAGTTTAAATACCTAGGTATCGTATTGAACTCCAGATTAGATTGAAACGACCACGTTCAGCAAGTAACTTCTTCAGCACTAAAAAAACTTGGTCTTTTACGGCATAAACTTCGAGGTACACCTAGTAACGTTAAGATTTTAGCGTATAATTTCATAATTAGGCCTAAACTGGAGTATGCAGCGGTTGTTTGGGACCCGCACACCAACAAAAACATTAACAAACTGGAGAAGGTTCAGAGGAGAGCTGTTCGTTTAATTTATAATAAATATAAAAGAAGTGATTCTCTGTCAGGTATCATGGCACTCAATAAAATCCAACCACTACACATTAGACGCCAAATCGCCCGCTTAGCTTTTATGGAATCCCTAATTAAGTGTAAGACTGGATTATCACCCACTTCATTCATTAGTCCGTCCACCACGAGGAAACCACGACACACACATAGCCACAGTTTATCCCCATTCTTTGCCCGAACAAATACCTTTAAGTTTTCATATTTTCCACGCACGGTAGATGACTGGAATAAATTGCCAGAAAGAATTTTTAGTGGAAATTTTATGACAGCCCTACACGATCATTTTAGAAACTTTTAATTACTGACGGTTGAGTTTTTAGCAATGTTTCTTGAAGTTGTGCGTGATTTTCTAGTTTTATTTGGATTGGAAACCCTGCTATGTTTGTGCGAAAAGTCGGTTTCACCGTGGCTTGTTTATTTTGTAGTTCCAAGTGAATTCTGCGTTTTGTTGCTTCATTGTTTTTGTTACATTGCATTGCAATGTATGTGCGTGAACATTCTTTTTTCTGCCCGTCCTGCTTGGACCATTAAATTCGTCTGCAGTATTGTATAAATAAATTAATAAGAAATATAATGCTTATGTATCTTAACGCAGAACTAGTCACGCTGGGAGAGGAGGCTTTCCTCCGACGGTGGTCTACGCGATTTATTATCGTAAAAAACAACAGTGTCCCTGCCTTTTCTCCCTTATTGAGGAGGTGGGCCAGAGCTTGTACCACTGTGACATTACAGTTTGTATTTTTCTTTTCTCCTTATTGTTCTTGAGCGTGAGAGTAAATTGTCCTCACAGGTGAATGCAAAATATCACGCTACACTGTGAATGACCTCACCTTGTTTGTTCATATAGCCTTACTGTTCTTTCAAGTTTAACCATCTCGATGTCATGAATGTCCTGTCTTTGTTGTGCATTTTTTGCATGAGGCGTTACTGCATACGCTATAAGTTCTTTCGCTGTATATGACAGCTTGCATTGTACATACGCATTGTTCACCATTGTCCATTTTTAAGTGTGCACATAAGCTGTGTAAGATATATCCGGAAATAAAATTCTCTTAAATTCTATTTGTGCAAGACCGCTACTGCAATGGGACTTTCCGTTTGCCGGGCACAGGTTCACCCAAATAAACTGTTGAATCCCAACACATAGTATCGTGTCTTCGGCCACGTCACGACCCGGTGACAATATTGATACACACATCTAAAAAAAAGCACCCAAGAAAGTACTAATGCAATTTTCTCAAAACGTATGCCAGTGTGTTTTTTCACTAAAGTGTACCAAATTACTGTATGAAAATTGCGTGTTTTTAAACACGATTCAGGGAAGTACCGGCCGAAAAACTGCGCCCAGCAGCTGTTGGTGACAGCCTGCATTGCTTGAAGTGTGACGCATCGATCATCACCTCTTTTTCTGCGGGCACCACACACGTGTTACTATGACGGATGTAGGTAGACGGATGAGTAGACTATAAGTTACAGTTGTTCTTACACTTGAGAAATGTGTGTACTCAAAGTAAAAAGCACCGGTAACATGTACACCGGTGCGGCCAGCACGATAAGCCTAATGCTCGATAACGGATTTTTGGGTAAGAACGCCCTCGAAGCAGCTGATTTGTATTGCTTTAAGTTTCTGCATTTGAGCTTCGGGACATTTCTTATACCTGAACTAAGCAGAAGGAAAGGCAGCACCAGGCATTCACTACTGGTGTGGCGATATTTATTGACAGCTGTTTTTCTCACCTCCCCCTGGAAAGCTTAAACGTGCACGCACGGCTGGTAGAAACAGTGCGTGCCCCAATATCCACCAGTGAACTCCAGTGAGAATTCCAAAGTTTTCAGCACATCCCAGTGTGCAGCAGTGGCACAGCGGTCAAGCCAGCGTCCCTACCAGTAAGCCCCAGCTGTTTCCTAGAGTATTTAGCGAATTGCCACTAAATACCATTGTGTACCAGTGTTAACAGCGTGTACCAGTGCCAAAAAGGTACTGGCATCAGGCTGGTGACACTATTTTGCAATAGGGAGTAGTATGTGTAGGCAGTGTTTGCTAATGAGCTGCCTTCTTGCCATGTTGCTTTTCCTTTTGCACTAGCAATTTCATGTTGCATACCTTGCATCTGAAATGAACCGAAACCATGCAGATGTTCCACCAGCACCGGGACCACCACTTCCGGCACCTTCACCTGGCCCACCCCCAGCTGTCATGGCTGGCCCGAGAGCGCCGGGTCAGTCTCTCAGCTCGTCAGACGCCTACTTGCTCCCCTAGAAGAACATGCGAAGTTGAGAAAGTCGTGTTCAAAGAGGCCCTTAGACCCTTGTCAAGTAACCATAGAATGAGTTAACTCGAAAAGCTTATTGCCTCACGAATTCAACGCTGCAAAAACTTCAAGAATCCGTTCAGACGAGTTACAAAGGTTTCTAACATGCTGTTTTTGCATTCTGTCTTCTCTCGTCTCGACGCAAGCATTGGAAGCTATTCAGGGAGGGACGGCGGGGCCACAGCAAAACGTCACGTGAGCCTCGCGACCTTGAGCACTTTTCTTATTTTTTTTTGTAAGTGCCACTTTTCCAGTGTGATCGCGTGCGCACGCTTCGACAAGTAGCAGCCTCCCACAGTTATTTCTTAAAGAGTGAGCGCACCATGTTCAAACTAGCCAATGGCTGATATATGGGCTGTTGACGTGTGATTTGTCGGCAAGTAACGTGATTTACCGAGAGAAGAGAAAGCAACTTCCAGCTGACTTTGATAATTTATTGTGAATTCCAGGCCACGTGCTGTGCCATATAATTTGGCTCGCGGGCTGTCGGGAGCCTTTACTACCAATTGGCAGCGTTTTCTGATAATGCGCAAAAAGTGTTTCAGGGCCCCTTTAATAGTTAAATGATCAATCTGACAACCCAGGTATCAGCGACACACGACCCAGCTATGCATAGTCTTGTCCTGTTTCAATGAACATTGCACTGTGCATTAATAAATGTGTGACCTGCCAGTGAATATTTCGGGCAAGCGACATTTTCACACCCATTATGCGTTTCTAGAAACGAGGCCTATTGCAAAAGGCAGCGCCACTGAGTACCACCGCCCACGCCATGCCTTATTTTGAGCCCAGTATTGCGCTGGACACTGGCACACTGGGGAACACGTTACTGAGACGCGCTGGGTACTATGCACAAAATGGCTTCACTGCGTTCAAACAGAGGTGCCTATTCGCAATAAATAAATAGATAAATAAATAAATAAATAAATAAATAAATGAATAAACAAGAAAAAGAAGCCGTCAAGCGGGCATTCACACAAAAAATAAAAAATTGAAAAATTATCCACCTACAGGATTCCAACTTGCCACCTTGTGATTCCCAAGCAAGTATTCGCCTATTACTTCACACTAAAACACCTTTGGAGAGGTTGTAAATGACTATTTCGTCAAAGAACACACCGTTTGGCTTCATGTTTACAAGTCGCACAGTCAACATTGGCTCGATATTCCTTTCGAAATAATAATTGCGTCATTATTCGACACTAGTCAATGACGGCTAGCACCCAATGATATGAGGATATTGGCAAGAGCACAAATTTTTTTCATGAATTCACATCTTAACTCAGAAAAATGCAAATGGACTGTAGGAGCAGCCTGAGATTGTCGGCCGTTACTGCCGATTGTTTTTTTCTGTGATAGCCGCTTATCGCTCTCCCTGCTGGTCCACATGTTCAGAGGTTTTATGATGACTTGTTTGATACATATGTGCATACAGAATTGAATATTGAGCAGTCTTCTCGCGTAAGCGGTGTTATAGCATTGTGGCTATAACGTCGCTTGTATCAATACTTACAACTAAAGAACCGGCCAAGAAAATACTAATGCCGTCCACCAAAACAGGATGCAAGTTTGTTAGGTCAGTAGGGTGTACTGAATTACAAGTTGAAAACTGCGAGTTTGTACGTATACGAATCGGAGAACTACCGGCTATACTGCATCGGGCAGCTTTCGGTTACAGCCCTCGTTGCTGAAAGCACGTCACATCGATCGTCAGGATCGCTCCTTGTGCAAGCAGCTCACACAAGGAAAAATGGTTGATTTGGGTTAGTGGATTTTTGAACGATACTTTACAGTCGTTCTAACACTTTTGAACCATGCGTATGCAAAGCGAGAAGTGCTGGCAACCTATACAGAATGCGGCCGGCACGATAGGCCTGATTGTCATTTGGATGGGCCATGCACAGGGTAAGGCTGCTCTCGAACCAGCGGAGTTGTGGTGCTTGAAGTTTCTGCATTTCAGCTTCGGAACATTTTTAAGTGTCACCTAAACTGCACCTGAAGTAAGTAGAAGGGCAAGCGTTGCCAGAAATGTATTTCCGCTGTGTCGACATCCAGCGAGAGCTGTTTTTTTTTTGGCCTCTGTTGGCAGTGCAGTGGGCGTACTATGTATACATATTGGCAGTTATATCGATGCATACAACTAAAAAAACCGCCCAGAAAACTGCTGATGCAATACTCCAAAAAATATTCCAGTGTGTTCATTAAGGTGTACGAAATCACTGACTGAAAACTGCGTGCTGCTAAAGATGAGCCGGAGAATATTGGCCGAGAAACTGCGCCCGGCAGCCTTCGGTGACAGCCTGCATTGCTGAAAGCATGAAGTATCGATCATCGTCCCTCCTTATGCGGGAAACGCACACGAGAAAAAATGGTTGATGTGCATTGACGGATGGGTAAATTATACGGTACAGTTCTTACTCTTTAGAATTGTGTGTACTCAAAGCAAAAAGCACCGGTAACAAGTACACGGATGCTGCCAGCACGATAGGCCTAATGATCGCTGACGGAGCAATTGGTAACACCACCCTCGAAGCACCTTATTCGCGATGCTGGAAGTGTGTTTCACCTTCAGAAGATTTTTGTTACCTGAAGGAAGTAGAAGGACAAGCATTATATACATGCATTTACAAAAAGGTGATATCTAACGACAGCTGTTTTTTTTTCACCTTCGATGGGAAAGGTTAAACAGGCACGCGCCGCTCGTAGACACAGTGCGTGCTCCAGTACGTACCAGAGCACTTTAGTAAAAATTCCAAAGCATCCAGCAATTCCCAGTGTGCAGCAGCGTCAAAGGGGTCAAGCCAGTGCCCCTACCAGTGCGCCCAAGCTGTTTCCTAGGGTGCTCAGTAAAATGCCATACAATACAATCGTGTACCAGTGTTTCCAGCGTGTACCAGTGCCAAAACACGTGCTGGCATCACGCTGGAGACACTGTAATATGTGATGGGGGTTAATATGTGTAAGCAGTGTTTGCTAAGGAGCTCCTTCTTGCCATGCTGCTTTTCCTTTCGCAATAGCAGTTTCATGTGGACTACCTTGCATCTCAAATGAATCACATTCATGCAGGTGTTCTACCAGCACAAGGACTACCACTTCCAGAACCTTCACCTGGCCCACCTCTATCTGTGATTGCAGACCCGAGAGCGCCGGGGGGTGAGTCTCTTAGCTCGTAGGATGTCTACTTGCTCTACTAGAAAAACATGCCAGGATTAAAAGGTTGCGACCTCCATCGCCAATATAACAACATAGGTATCAGCCATGCTTGACCCGGATATTTGTAGTCTTATCCTGTTTGAATGAATTTTGCACTGTGCATATATATGTGCAACCTTCCAGTTAATCTTTCTGGCAAGTGATACTCTCACACCCTATGCTTTTTCGATAAACTACTATTATGCGTGAGCAGTGTTTGCTAATGAGCTACCCTCACGCCGTGCTGATTCACTTTCGCATTACCAGTTTCTTGTTGGATACCTTACATCTGAAATAATTCATACTCATCCAGGTGTGCCACCAGCACCAGGGCCACCACTTCTAGCACCTCCAGCTGTCATGGCAGGCCCGAAAGCGCCGGGTGAGTCTCTTAGCTCGTAGGATGCCTGCTTGCTCTACCAGAAAAACATGCCAGGATGAAAAGATTGTGAGCTCCATCACCAATATAACAACACAGGTATCAGCCATGTTTGACTCAGTCATGTGTAGTCTTGTCCTGTTTGAATGAATTTTGCACTGTGCATATAAATGTATGACCTGCCAGTTAATCTTTGCTGGAAAGTGACACTCTCGCACCCTATGTTTGTTTCGATAAAGATTATTACATGTGAGCAGTGTTTGCTAATGAGCTACCATCACGTCATGCTCCTTTATTTTCGCATTACCAGTTTCTCGTTGGATGCCTTGTATCTGAAATATTTCATATTCATCCAGGTGTGCCGCCAGCACCAGGGCCACCAATTCTAGCACCTCCACCTGTCATAGGGGGCCAAAAAGCGGCGAGTGAGTCTCATAGCTCGTAGGGTGTCTACTTGATCTACCAGAAAAACACGCCAGGATGAAAAGGTTGTGAGCTCCATCACCAATATAACAATACAGATATCAGCCATGCTTGAACCAGCTATCCGTAGTCTTGTCCTGTTTCAATGAACTTTGCACTGTCCATATAAATGTATGACCTGGCAGTTGATCTTTCTGGCAAGTGACACTCTCGCAGCCTATGTTTGTTTCGATAAACCACCGGTATATGTGAGCAGTGTTTGCTTATGAGCTACCTTCTCGCCATGCTGCTTTTCTATTGCATTACCAGTTCCATGTTGAACAACTTGCATCTGAAATAATTCATATCCAGGTGTGCCGCCAGCACCGGGACCAGCACTTCCAGCACTTTCACCCGGCTCACCTCCAGCTATTATGGCAGGCCCGAGAGCGCAGGGTGAGTCGCTTAGCTCGTAGGATGTCTACTTTGTCTTCCAGAAAGCATGCCAGGATGAAAAGGCTGTGAGCTCCACCACCAATATAACAACACAGGTATCAGCCATGCTTGACCCAGCTATGTGTAGTCTTAGCCTGTTTCGATAAACTTTGCACTGTGCATATAAATGTATTACCTGCCAGTTAATCTTTCTTGCAAGTGCCACTCTCGCACCCTATATGTGTTTCGATAAACCACTACTATGCGTGAGCAGTGTTTGCTAATGAGCTACCCTCACGCCGTGCTGCTTTACTTTCGCATTACGAGTTTCTCTTTGGATACCTTGTATCTGAAATAATTCATATTCATCCAGGTGTGCCACCAGCACCAGGGCCAGCACTTCTAGCACCCCCAGCTGTCAAGGCAAGCCCAAAAGTGCCGGGTGAGTCTCTTAGCACGAATGATGTCTGCTTGCTCTCCCAGAAAAACAAGCCAGGATGAAAAGCTTGTGAGCTCCATCACCAATATAGCAACACAGGTATCAGCCATGTTTGACTCAGCTATGTGTAGTCTTGTCCTGATTCAATGAACTTTGCACTCTGCATATAAATGTATGACCTGTCAGTTAATCTTCGCTGGCAACTGACACTCTCGCTACCTATGTTTGTTTCGATAAACCACTATTACATGTGAACAGTGTTTCCTAATGAGCTACCCTCACGCCATGCTGCTTTATTTTCGCATTACCAGTTTCTCATTGGATACCTTGTATCTGAAATAGTCATATTCGTACAGGTGTGCCGCCAACACCGGCCACCACTTCCACCACCTCCACCTCGCCCAATTCCAGCTGTCCTAGGGGGCCAAAAAGCGCCGAGTGAGTCTCTCGGCCCGTCAGTTGTCTACTTGCTCAGCTATAACATGCGAAGTTCAAAAGGTTCTGAGCTCCATCACCAACCTATCAACACAAGTATCAACTATGCATGACCCAGTCATGCATTGTCTTGTCCTGTTTCAATGATCTTTGCACTGTGCATATAAATATATGATCTGCCAGTTAATCTTTCTGGCAAGCGACACTCTCGCACCCTATGTGTGTTTCGAGAAATAACTAGTGTATAGTAACGAACATTTCAAGTGAACACTTTTGATAAGCTAGCGTAGGCAGGGCGAACATGTGCCCGAGAATAATAACACAGCTAGAACTAAATCTCCTGGTTGTCTCGAGGATTCACTTCTGCCTCTTCCTCCGCAATCTTCTTTTTTCCAACATGGGTCGCGCGCAGCCGGGCCTCGCAGGCTCGTGCGTCGCAAACCATCTGGAGGGCACAAGTATTGGCTAGCGCACGTAACTTGAACTCACATTGTGTCATTGCCCCCCTTTCCAGAGTGCGTCGTCCCGATGCGCTTGTCAAACTGGTCGCATGGCGGTCATTCACAACACCTCGTCGTGGATGTCGTTAACATCCAACAACGTTGTGTCCTCAGTGTTTCATTGCGTGTCGTTATACGGTTTCATCCTGACGACATGCGCAGTTTCCGTGCGATGCCACAGTCGGGATGAAATATCCCGTCTCTCTAGCATAATTTCGTAGTTGAGCGAGCCGACATGGCGGAGAACTCTGTCTGGACTGAAATAGCGGCAAAGCAGTTTTTCTGACAGGACACATATTCGTACAGGAATCCACATCCTACTCTGTCTCCTGGTGCGTACTGGACGTCCATTCTTTGCACATTGTATCGGTGCGTGTCGGTTTTCTGCTGTTGGAGATACAATATTGTGCCAGCTGTCTGGCTTCTTCTGCTCTTTGTATGTAGCCGTGAACGTCATGGTCCTTCTCGGGCGTCTCGTAAATAGGTAACATTGCATCTAAAGCTGTCGTTACCGTCCGGCCAAAAACGAGTTGGATAGGCGTCCTCCGTGTTGTCTTTTGCATCGCAGTGTTATAGGCGAATGTTGCATAGGATAATATTTTTATCCCAAGTACGGTGTTCTATATCAAGGTACATTGACAACATATCAGACAGCGTTCTCTTCAGTCGTTAGGTAAGACCATTGGCTTGAGGATGATATGCCGCCTTGTTCCTATGACCCGTGTGCGTCAATTTCATAATACATTTCATCAGGTCGGCTGTAAATGCAATTCCTCGGTCCGTGATCAACGTTCTTGGAGCTCCGTGCCGCAGTACAATGTTGGAGACGAAGAATTCGGTTACTTCAACGGCTGATCCTTTAACAAGAGTTGCTGTCTCGGCAAATCGGGTTAAATAGTCGGTCGCAGCTATTATTCACCGTTTTCCTGATGACGACGTGGGAAATAGGCCCAGTAAGTTCATTACCACTTGTGTGAATGGGGCTTCTGGTGGTTCTCTCGGTTGATGGAGACCTGCTGGTTTTAGCGGTGGGGTTTTGCATCTTTGGCAGTGCCGGCAGGTTCTGACATAGTGTCGTAGAGAGCTAAGCAACTTCGGCCAGTAGTATTTAGTGCGGATGCGTGCTAACATTCTACTTACTCCTAAATGTCCAGGTGATGGATCGTCGTGGCAAGCCTCCAAAATCTCTGGTCGCAGAAGTGAAAGGACGACAAGCAGGAATGTCGCTGTGTTGTTGTCAAAGTTACTTTTATACAGGATGTTGTTTCGTAGAATGAACGCTGACAAGCCGCGGACAAAAAGTCGTGGAACATCGACAGACTGTCTTTCTAGATACTTGAGCAAGAGGAGCATCTCAGGGTCGGATCGCTGATTATGTGCGATCTGGGACAGTGTCACAGCTCCCAAGAAAACAAAATCTTCAGTCTTCGGTGGAAGCAGAAGCAGCAGGTTGAATCGGAGCACGTGACAAGCAGTCCGCATCACTGTGCTTGCAACCTGACTTGTACACAAGCGTGGTATCATACTCCTGTAATCGCAGGCTTCAACGTGCAAGCCGTCCACATGGGTCCTTGAGACTAGCCAGCCAGCATAGCGAATGATGGTCGCTTATAGCTCCAAAAGGCCTATCATATAAATATGGTCGAAACTTGCTGATACCCCATACAACGACAAGGCATTCTTTCTTGGTCGCTGAGTACTTCACCTCAGCTTTCGAAAGAGTGCGACTGGCATACGCGATGACTCATTCTTGTCCGTTTTGCCATTAGATGAGCACAGCCCCAAGACCTAAATTGCTTGCATACGTATGGATATCGGTTTCCTCTTCCTCGTCAAAATGCACCAGAACAGGATGGCTTTGCAGACTTTTTCGTGGTTCATTGAAGGCATCCTCTTGTTCGGCAAGCCATACGAAAGGCATTTCTTCTTTTGTCAGCCTCGTCAGTGGTTCAGAGATTCGTGACAAATTTTTAAAGAACCATCGATAATAGGCGCAAAGGCTTAAAAATCACCTGACAGCGTTTTTTTTGTTTGCTTCGGAAGTTTTGCTACGGCCTCAGTTTTTGCAGGATCTGGGAGGACACCTTCTGCACTGATGACATGTCCGAGAAAAAGGAGCTCACGGAAGCCTAAATGACATTTCTGTGGTTTTATCGTCAAGTCCGCTGACTTGATCGTGGTGAGCACGGCCCGGAGCCTTTCCAAATGTTGCTCGAAGGTAGCAGAGAAGACTACAACATCGTCGAGATAAACCAGACACGACTGCCATTTCAGACCACAAAGGACTGTGTCCATGTCTATCATCCGTCGGATTGTGGCGGGTGCTGAACAAAGGCCAAAAGGGAGAACCTTGAAATCATATAAACCATTCGGTCTTCAAACGCTGTCTTTTCGCGATCTCTTTCGTCAAATTCTATCTGCCAATGTCCGCTTTTACGATCCAGTGAGGAAACATACATGGCATTTCGCAGCCTATTCAGAGTGTTCTCGGAAGAGGATAAACATCCCTTTTGGTGACGGCGATGAGCTTCCGGTTATCAATGCAGAAACGTAAGGTTTTTCTTCACAAGAGCAACAGGCGATGGCCATGAACTTAATTAAAGCTGGATTACGTCGTCTTTGAGCATTTCTTTAACCTGATCACCAATAGCTTCTCTTTCTCTTGGTGACACTGGGTAGGGATGCGTGTATATTGGCCTCACTGACTCGTCGACAATGATACGATGTTTGGCGATAGGAGTGCGTCAAACTTTAGATGACGAGAAACATTCGGCGAATTCTTTTACAATACCCTCTATTTGCTCTTTTTCGCTTAGTAGTAGCCCTGGCTCAATGTCGATGGCTGCGAGGACAGACTCCACGTCTTGAAAATCAGACTCATTGGTTTCGAAAGTTCGCAGCTCCGTAACCTGGACGAAATCATTCAGACTGGCGATGACGATTCCGTTTGCAACGTGCTGCACCTCCTTTCCAAAGTTCGGAAGTAGTACAATTGTACATCCGTCACGTAACTTAACAAGGCCTCGTGCCATGCAGATCCTTTTTTTCAGTATTAGGGCAGTGTTTTTGTCGGCAAATCCTTCGAATTCACAGAATGCTTTGTTGGTTACTGTGACAGATATGCTCAATCTTGGCGGCACCATGACGCCATCATCTGCAATACAAATGTCATATACGTTTTCTTCCGTTCCAAAGTTAGCAATCGCGTGTCTAGTCAAGAATAAGACGGATGATCCTGGGAAGTTAACTACAGCGTCATTAGTTCGTAAGAAATCTATGCGGGTAATCAAGTGTCTTGAGCATTCCGGCAACACAATAAAACTGGCGACGTTCGTGAAACCCCATATTGTGATTTTTGCTGTGCATATTCCAGTAGGGTCAATGAAGTGCCCTCCTGCTGTGCGAACTTGTGGTCCCTTCCAAGGAGTCAACACTTTCTTCAGTATTTTAGAAAGTCCTAAATTCATCACTGAATAATCTGCGCCTGTATCTACCAATTCCGATGACTTCGTAGCCGTCAACGAACACACGTAAATCAGAAGCAACGTCGCTATTGAAGCACCGGTTTCTGAGTCGGTCGTCGTTCAGAGTCAGCAATAGGGGTTTTCTTGCATTAGCGCCGACAGCGACCTTGCCTCCACAGGTCACTGACTCTAGTTTTCCCGACGCGGGCTTGGGGAAGGAGACCTTGGGGAGCTTGCTGAAGGTCGGGGGCTAGGTGACTTATACCTGCCCGTTGTCGTTGCACGAGGTTGGTGTCGTTGGAAGTCACTTGAGCTTTGACGACCTGACAGGTATTCTTCAATTTCGAAGAAACGTTTACCATTTCGTGGTTGAGGTGCATTACCAGGAAAACCACCTAGTCTTGCCTGGCGGTAGTGGCACGTTCGGTAGAGGTAACCAGCCTTCCAACAGTGGTAACAAAACGGTATCCTGTCAGGAGTGTGCCAGACATCGCTCTTCCTTAGTCTCCTCTCTGGCGTTGTCTACAGGGTGCTCGGCGGCGTCGGGTACTGCGTAGGTGTAGCCGCCGCGACCTCTGCACGTACTGGAGGTGCTCGTAGTAGT